TGCTTGCAAGTTTGGGCTCAACCTAAGTTTGCAAAACAGCCAGTGGCAATGCATTTGGAGCTACATAGTTTCATCAAGAATATAAGAAAGAGAAAATTTATTTGATATCTTGTAATGAACAGTTTTCCTTTAACTTTAGTATCAGCTTGAGCTATAAACGAGTGAACACAAATGCAAGCATTATGCTTGTTGATCGAGACAAGTCTTTTATTTTTTTACCTACCAAGTACCACTTCATCATGTAAAAGCTCCATACAGATGTTTTTTAGCTTTTGCCTATATTGTAGTTTTTCCAAACATTATTCAGGTTATGTTTGTATAGATTTGTCACCAATAACTGGAGCAAGAAAGGTATGCGCGACGATGGAGTTGCCTGCGGAAAAGACTAGTTGCCGTTAAAGCGAAAAATACATTGTGATAATAATAACAACCATAGCACCGAAAAATACAACACCAGCTTAGTTTGACAAAAAGGTCACCATGTGTAGCACGGTGTGGCAGTACCGTGTACTATGGTGCGACAGAGGGATACTTATAATCAAATGTATGTATTTCGAGTCTAACATGGAGAAATCTTGCTTACGTTCAAGGAGTAGGGAAGAATGAATACCAAACAAAATTTAAAAAACAATAATGAATAATTCGAAAAAAAATCTGAAGAATAATGAATAACGAATAATCGAGGTCCCATTATTCAGCTTCCAACCCCCGAAATACCCGAACTTTCTACATTCAAACGATCTTAATTCTCAAGTCTTCTGTTACAAGATAGCACTTCTATTAATCTGCTATTATAACGGAAATACACGCCTAAACTTCGTAAAACCAGGACTGACATTATTTACTCGTTATTTACTAAAATCCCAAGCTATTTCCTGTCGATTTGATTTTAAAAGCTGTTTCCCATTATACGCCGATCAATACTTCTGTAATTTACAAACGCACGCACGCACTGTTTGCTGCACGAATGACACATCACGCAACGTCACAGGATGTTTTAACGCAAACGTGCAGGCACAATTATCCTAAGCAATTCCTTATCTAAATATTTCAGACCATCATTGATTTTCTATAGCACCAACATTCCTACTACAAGTCTACCATTACCGTGCTACGCTCAATTATACACCTAAATCTTCAATAATCCAACTGTTATCAAACCCTTAGCTTAATTACTGAATTAGAAAATAAAATGTCACTCGATACGCTTACAAGATTATCACGACAGTGTTTTAAGACCTCTTTTCCTACTCAAAGGTTTAAACGGTTTAGCTATAAATATATTTGCAATGTAGTGTCCGTTAGAAGAATGAATCTTCCTCAATAATAGATTAACTTTAGTTCATTCACAAGTCTCTGACAAACATACATACGCACACACACACACACACATAAGCAGTTAGGTTTTGCTTGTGTTCAAAAAACCTTCGTTTGGCCATGCACGTTGCTTTAGTTTTATAACCACTTTAGAAATGCTGCGATGCAAACTTCCACGGAGTATGAGCTCCGTCATAGCAATACAGTATGAATCTTTTCTTGACGTAGTCTTGTTAACTATCGCCCATATTTCATTTCGTCTCTAAACAAAACAACACAAAACGAAACAAGACAAAAATGGACTAAAAAGCGAACCACCATTCAAAAACAAGACACACAAAACCACCAAGCAGGATATAGGGTTACAGGAATCAACCGCTCTTATGCTCAAAAAGCAATATCGAACTGAACCACAAACATGAAGCACACCTGGAAACAGGAATTTTAAAAATAAGACGTGCTCCGATGAGAATGTTTCAGTACATTTCCATCTTCGTTGTATCCTACGCTATTTAGGCTAGTAACAAAAAATGATCATAGAAATATTTTATATGGATATCAATAAATAAGAATTAGTAGTATTCGTTGATAACAAAGTGCAGAAACAGTGGCAATCCTCGAGATTGCTAGTTGCTGATATTCCTAAATGTGAATAAAAGTTCGAGAAAAAGCAATAAATCATCCATCAAACAAACAGAGAGTCAGTCTCAGTATCCATCATACTTCTCGCCTTAACATAGCCATTTCCCTTTTACGAAGATCACACGTGACGACTCGGCATCTTCTAACTTGTATAATGTGATTGTAATCTACAAGCATTTCACGCATTCGACACCATTTCTTTCTGCAACGCAATCCCAGAAAAAGCCGACACCTACCCCTAAAATAAGATATTAAGATAGAAAAAAAATAACTCCTTCAAGTTGGTTGGTCGCCTACATTGTAAGAAATATGTGGGACATAGACGACGCGCCTACGGCTTGGCTTGGCACATTTAATGTCATTGAGAATCTAACAAACATTAATAAATAACACAATTCATATCCTTGTGTGAACTGCTGCTGAAAGTTTGCACTATGTGAAAATCATCCTCTAGAGAAGGGCAACTAAGAGAGTTCATGTTTAGACAATTAGGCGCCATTGATTATGTAGTGTTCATTTGACTGTGGATTTAATTGGGTCATTAACAGCATAAGGGGTTTTTACTTTTGAAGTTGCAATACAAATACCTAATTTTCATGAAACTGAAACATTTGGTACATAAATATGGGATGGAAACCAGAATCAATAGCTCTAATGTAAGCGAAAGATCTTCCATACTCGAATGTTTTATCCTTTAAAAACCAGAGAACTGGTTCAAGTTCTTCAGTGTCGTATTCCAACGGCAAAGGCTCAACAATGGTTGATGGCGTAA